ATGTTCCATCTCCTAAACTCAATGATCTGAGAAATGAAGGCAAGTGTTCCAAACACCGTTTTTACCACTCTGTCTACCTGTCATGCAAATTTCAATGAACTACATACCTGAATCCCTAGGTCTCTGATCAACAGCACTACTCAGGGCCCTACTATCAACTGTGTAAGTGTTGCCTTTGTTTGTCTTGCCAAAATGCAACCGCTAGCATTTATTCAAATTAAACTCCATCTGTCAATCCTTGGCCCACTGGCCCAATTGATCAATGTAATCTTAGATAACCATCTTCACTATACACTATAGCACCAATTTTGGAGTCATCTGCAAACTTACTAATCATCCTTCTTAAATTCGCATCCAAATCATTTATGCAAAAAACAAACAACAGTGGACGCAGCACCAATCCCTGGCGAAAACTGCTGGTCACTGTTCTGGGTCCACTGTTGTTTGACATTTATATCAATGATCTGGATGAGAATTTAGGAAGCATCAAAAGGAACAAGAGACAGGCTAAAGAAGGAAAGCTTCAGCAATTAGGTCAACTCAGTTGACGGAATTAATAGATTCAATTCTACACAAGAATCACCAGCTTAAACTCACTCCTGAAGGTGTAACGTATGGCAAAAATCATTGACATTCCAAAACCTGGAAGATTCCATACAGATTATTAACAGACTTCACTACTGTTCTGTACAGTTTAATGTCTTTGAACATCTTATCCTGCAATGTTCCTCTCTGGAAGCAGAAATCACCATTAATGTCGACCGAGAGTGGTTCTTACTAAGCAGGATCAGGACAAGCCAGGGTCAGTGTGCTGCTAAATTCTACCTTTGCAGCTTCGGTGTAAACCTCTTACGCACTTGTGAGGAGATACAAACAATACTGAGGACTGTCCTCGCTAAAGACTAAGTAGTGGTTTAATCACCTTAAACTTAATTGCTTTTCTCCATTGTTGATGTTCCAGATTTGTGCTTGCTAAACAGTCCTAGCCAAGCAAAAAACTTTTTAAAGAAGTGTTGTCTGTGGAAATTAAACATAGTCAAAGAATAACGACGTGTCAAATAACCCAGAATGGTCTTTTTTGCGGATTAGAATACAGTTGACATCTGAATGTTAGTTCTCCTTAGTCCAATGTCTACATACAAGAAAATGTATCAAAAGAATGTGAGAACTGTAGGTCAGAAATATTTATGCCAGTTTATAGCACAGCTGCAAAGAAGCAGGCCATGATCCCCATTAAAACCACTTATTGGTCTATTTCCCAGTAGTGTAAAGAATTCTTTATCTTGGATAATTTCTGACTCAATTTGCTCAGTGCCCTGACAGTGCAATCAAGTTACCTAGCTTTGCATGCTTTGTTTTGCTTTGTTCTGCTTTGTTTTGTGCCAAATGGTTCCATCAGTTCTATACTTGGCTTGACTGCCAAGAACATAAAATAACGTTAATATTATCTTTTAGAAAACCAGTTGGTGAAGTATTGGAGCCAATCTTTATTCAATCTTACAAATATTTGCTGAGTTCAACATGACAAACATACACCTCCTCACTGCACAGTTTTAGTAAGTGTGTCTTAATACGTGCCCAAGGAAAATCCACAACGACACTGCCAGTGCAGAATTAAACCCATTTAATATACAATTAAGAGTTAACAAATCAATATCATAACGGGGCGGTGCCGGTGTTGGACTGGGGTGGACAAAGTCAGAAGTCACACGACACCAGGTTATAGTGCAACAGGTTTATTTGGAATCACAAGCATTCGGAGCATAGCCCCTTCGTTAGGTGAAGTGAGAGAGAAGCACACAGACACAGAATTTATATGCAGAGAGATCAAGGGCAAAAAGATCAAAATTTCATACAAATGGTGTGAGTGGAGTGTCGAATAATAAGTCTCTGCAGGTGATCAAAAGTGTCAGACGGTGTGAGTGAAGAGTCAACAGCTAAATAACAAGTGAAGGGACCTATAGTCCAATTAATTGAAGCAGAGAGATAATTACAAAACATTAAAAATAAGGCGGTGATGGAGACAAACCAAATGACTGGAATAACATGATACGTATAAGAATAGCATACCGAAGATCTAACCAAAGTAATAAGTAATCCAAAACTGAACAAAATAACTAAGGTTGAGGGATCATAATTTAAAAGGTGGTGTCATCAAAATGGGACAGCGAAGAAGATTTTACAGATACAGAACAGTGTGGTGGGGTCACATGTAGCGTGACATGAACCCAAGATCACGGTTGAGGCCGTCTTCATGGGTATAGAACTTGGCTATCAGCTTCTGCTCAGTGTTTCTGTATTGTTGTGTACCTTGAAGGACGCTCACCCGAAGACTGGTGGCTGAATGTCCTTGACCGCTGAAGTGTTCCCGACGGGGAGGGAACATTCCTGTTGCGCGGTGTCCGTTTATGCGTTGTCATAGTGTTTGCATGGTCTCGCCAATGTACCTTGGCTCGGGGCATCCTTGCCTTCAGCACATGAGATAGACAACATCGGTCGAGTCACACGAGTATCTGCCATAGTGGGTGGTGTTCTCACGTGTGATGGTAGTATCCACGTCGATAATCTGACATGTCCTACAAAGGTTGCCATGGCAGGGTTGTGTGGTGTTGTGGTCGATATTGTCCTGAAGGCTGGGTACTTTGCTGCGAATGATGGTCTGTTTAAGGTTTGGCGGTTGCTTGAAGGCGAGAAGTGGAGGCGTGGGGATGATCCTGGCGAGATGCTCGTCGTCATCAATGACGTGTTAAATGCTGCAAAGAACATGGCGTAGTCTGTCTGCTCCAGAGAAGCACTGGATGATGAAGAGTTCTGTATTGGTAGTATCCTGTGGCTGTCTTCTGAGGAGGTCACTGCGGTTTTTCACTGTGGCACGTTTGAACTGGCGATGAGTTGAGTATTGTATCCCATTCTTATTAGACCATCCTTCAAAATGTTTTGTAATTATCTCTGCCTCATTTAATCAGATTATAGGTCATCCCTTCGCTTGTTACTCAGCTGTTAATACTTTACTCACAACATCTGACACTTTTATAATCTGCAGAGACTTATTATTCAACACTCCACCCTCAACATTTGTATGATCTTTTGATCTCTCTGCCCATAAATTCTGTGTCTGTGCACTGCTCTCTCATTTCACCTGACTAAGGGGCTATGCTCCGAAAGCTTGTGATTTCAAATAAGCCTGTTGGACTATAACCCGGTGTCATGTGACTTCTGACTTTGTCCACCCCAGTCCTAGATTGGCATCTCCAAATCATGGCTACCATTGACATCACAAACTGCCAGCTCAAAGTGGAGAGGATCTCCAAGAGGATTGTGCCTATTGACACAGACATCAAGTTTCTGCAGAGGTGCAAGAAAGCAGAGAACAGCCCATTAGGACTGCGGATCACGAATCCACTCAAGTTGACCTAATGCACAGACTATGCTGAGACACTCTGCCATCGCATCTCTTGCACACTCCACAATCATCTTGTACACCAACTCTGCAGCAGACGTTGAAACCTTGAAATCGAGATAGAGTCCACGTACTCAGCTTGCGCTCAGGATACCGCTGACCAGCCATGAGACACTGCCAAGCAGGTGAGGCAACAGAACTACATCACCTACATGTATACCAAGAACACGAAAATGGAGAAACTTGGCATCACCAACAGCAGTAACCAAGTATCCCCGGTACCACGGTTGAAACCAGTACCACTACAGGGAAATCCATCATAACCTTGTCTGACCACACCCTTCAACCAGATGAGATCGAAGTTCTCAGCCCAGGGCTCAATTTCTGCCTGACTACCGAAATGGATCCCATTGGTCTCGCGGCAGACGCAGAGGAATTCATCAGGTGATTGAGGCTACGGGAATTCTTCCACAAACCCCAAGATGTCAACAGTGAGCCTAATAAGACAACCAACAAACCAGAACTGTCAACAGTTTTATCCGTGGTGCAGCAACCAAAGAAGAAAGTGTCGAATTAGACCCCTCCAGAAGGCCACTGCCCCAGGCTCAACATATATGCTCGAGCTGTCAGGGAATGTGTTAACACCAGATTCATCAGCTGTGCTCACAAGATAGTGCAGAACGTCACCCAAACACAATGTAATGCCATCCCCATGCTCTCAAGACCAATCACAACATTGTCATCAAATCAGCAGACAATGGAGGTGCCATTGTCATACAGAATAGAACGGACTACTGCAAAGAAGCTAGGAACACTACAGACAGCTACCTGCTGATTCGACACATCTGTCAACTGAACAGACTGATCAAGACCTTTGATCCAGACCTTCAGAGTATCCTGTGCACTCTCATCCCATGTACTTCTCGCATTGGAGACTTCTACTGCCTTCTGAAGATGCACAGAGCCAACACACATGGACATCCCATTATATCAGGCAATAAGGCCCTGTGTGAGAACCTCTGTAGCTATGTCAAGGGGATCTTGA